GTGTGTGTGTGTGTGTGTGTGTGTGTGTGTGTGTGTGTGTGTGTGTGTGTGTGTGTGTGTGTGTGTGTGTGTGTGTGTGTGTGTGTGTGTGTGTGTGTGTGTGTGTGTGTGTGTGTGTGTGTGTGTGTGTGGAAGGGGGATTACAGGCGGGAGAAAGGGGGTGGCGGTGGGGTGGCGGTTGCGGAGAGGGGTTAAACAAATTTTTTTTTAATAAAGAATATTGTGCTAAATCAACGAGGTGATATTTGAGGACAGCGCCCGTGCATGTACGGTGCAAAACTCCTACTTCATCCCCGCCCGCCCTTTCCCTTGTCTTCCTTGTCGCACGCTCAGCCTCCTTCTTCTTCCACCGCCACTCGGCTATCTTCCCTTCCACCTTCCGTCAGTCACTCACCCCGCTCACCTTCATCAAGCTATATTACGTACTTTTATTTAGGCAGTACTTTACGACTAAAACGGCGCTCGCGCATGCGCAATATCTCCCGACAAGAATAATATTTTACAAATATTATGAATTTAAAACGAAGAGGGGTTATCCTATTATAGATTTATATGAGAAAATTGTATCAGTAGACCTCATTTCTAAAATAGGAAGCCGACCTTGCATGTAAGGTCTCCGCTGCATATACCAATCAGTACATAACCTGGCTACGTTACTGTTTTAGCGCATGCGCAATATCTCACCAGAAGAGCTATATTTTGTGATGAAAATGCATTTAGTATGGTCAGGTGGTATCTCAGCATAGGTTTCTGTAATAAATTCTTATCCGTAGACCTGTGTTTATAATTAGGAGAGCGCCCTAGCCTGTAGGGTGGAAAACTCCTACTTCATCCCCGCCCGCCCTTTCCATTGTCTTCCTTGTCGCACGCTCAGCCTCCTCCTTCTTCCACCGCCCATCAGCTATCTTCCCTGCCGCCTTCCTTCAGTCTCCCACCCCTCTCTCCGTCAGCACGCTATATTACGTACTTTTATTTACGCCTTACTGCACGCCTGAAACGGTGCTCGCGCATGCGCAAGGTTGTAGAGTGCAAAATGCCTACTTCATTCCCGCCCGCCCTTTCCCGTGTCTTCCTCGTCAAAATGGTTCTTTTCGCACATATTAGACACATACAAACTTACCACGTTCCATGACACAATAGGTGCGTTCACACTGGCGCAAATTAGCGGGCTGCAAAACCCGGTTTTTGCAGCCCGCTCGAAAAACTGAGCTTTTTACAAGTGTGAATGCAATTATAGCTCACTAAATCGCGTTCCAAATAGCGCGCTCCAAAGACCACTTCCGACTGGGCTAATTTGGAATCAGCGCGCTTATTTGCACCGCGGCGTGATATTTGCACCGCGGCGATTAGCGAGATATTCGCCTGTGTGAACAACGACACAATTAGCTCACTATTATCTCCGCTATTAGCGGGCTGAGCAGCGCGGTTTTTCTTGTGTGTGAACGCGCCTAATATGGCGAAAGGGGATTGGCAGCTTAGTACTCCAATTTTTTGCGATGCGATAAATAAATAAATTCTTTCAAACTGATTCCGATGCAAAGAAAAGTGTACAATTGTTTTTTGTTGTACATAATGCGCTATTTATTACTGAAGAATATACATGTATAGATAGATATACATAGATATATATAGAAAGACAGAGATAGATAGATAGACCGGTATAGTGCGCGAGAACCAGCAAACAAACAACATTACACCTCAGGTTTCACTTTTGAGCAAAAACATCCAGCAATGTATCATATAACAGAGAAATTACATTTCAAAATGTATTAACATTAAAAATTAACACAATAATTTATTACTAGTCTTACTACCGCACAGTACCTACTCCATCTCCATTTCACTCACTCACTCACGCACGCACACACTCACTCACACACACGCACACACGTACACTCTCTTTTCCCTTATCTCTCTCTATATATATATCTATCCCCCTTCTCTTTCTTGCTCTTGTTATATTTCTTACAAAACAAGCATAAATAAATATCACTCTAAATAGCGTATAGTCAAAAAGAAATTACGTAATATACTAGAACAAATTTGAGATGTTATAAGACACATATAATTATATAGATATAGAAACGAACCTGGCTAAAACATACCATAACTCCTGGCCTATTGAGCCATAGTTATACGAACATTTGTATAGAAGTGTTCATAATGTTATTAACTAGCACAGTAGACGAGAGAATGCCTGCATCTATGCACTGCCTACAACTATTTGCTGCATTACCCGTGTAAACTGCAATCATACAGTGCACGTGGCCGCACCAAGGTGGCATTTCATTTGCCAAACCGTTCCTTGTTGAGACGAAGAGCAAAAGTTACTGTCACGTAGTTAGACAGGCGTGTGACAAATATTATACATCACCTGCTGGTGACAAACATTGGGCCTCTATAAATATTGCGCCACTACTGACTATTGGTGTTACGCATTATCTTTTCACGTTATCAGCATGATGCCTATATACATAAACTTAGTAATAGATGTAGGGAGGAAAACGGCGAGGAAAATTGAAATATGTGGAGAGCCGCAGGATACTACTGGGATAGGGCAGTGGGTGGTGGGAAAGGGCATGGAGTGAAGTAGGGTATCCTTACATATCTACATTGTGGTAACGTCAAGGACAGTACATTTTCACGTTACAGCCGTTAACCGTACATAAATAGGAGGGAAAAGAAACGTTAACATGAACGATGCTAGCTGTACACCTGTACAAGCGGACTGCCGACTATGGGACAGCCGGACGAGGGTTTTTACAGCAAATATCGCCGTGTCACGACACGCCTTACACCGCTGACAGCCAACACTACAGCGCTGACCAACCATGGTTGACGAGCCCCTCACCCCCCCCCCCTAAGGCACATCGGTGATGGAGGCATGCTTGTATGAAAGCAGGGACAAGTAGACCGTGGTACATGCACATTGACCCCCGGTAGACTTCCTTGTGTCTCTCCACGAGCCATCGCAGGCACAGCGAAACACCTCACAGGACACGGCTAACGACGCCTCGTTGTCGCCAACGATGCCTCGTTGTCGCTAACGACGCCTCGTTGCCGCTAACGACGCACCGTTGCCATAAACGACGCCTCATCACCATTATTGAGCAAAGACACCAGCACGTGCACAAATTCGCCTGCCACTACAAACGCCGATTGCACGAGGACAAGAGCCCGCCGAAATTGCACGTGGGGGCGCCACCTCTCCGTGCTCGTGCTCTTTCCCCCATCAGGTGGCGCTGGTGCGGCCTCCCGCGGCGAGCACGGTGATGAGGTAACTACATGGTGAGGTAAGCGAGGTAATTCTTGATGGCATTGGGCATCTCGAGATTAGCGACTGCAGCGGCGGGCACGTGGCGGCGGATGGTCATGCGACATAGATGGCGCAGTGGTGCCATTGTCTCCGGTACGCGCCAGAAGTGAACGTGTCCCTCGCGGGTGCTGCAGGGATCAAACACAAGCACACGTGTAAGTCGCTGTTACCTTCAGACAACCCTCGCTGTTACCTTCAGATAACCTTCACAGTTACCTTCAGATAACCCTCACCGTTACCTTCCAGCAAGTTGGGCTAACTGCCATCTTCCAACTTTAATTTTCCATTCGAATTTTAATAAATATGTTATAATTTTACAAATAACAATCAAAAATAATATTTAATAATGATTTTTACTTTTTAATTTTGAACTTTTAATGTCCAGCTGTTAGTCAAGAATACATTCACAAGCGTGATCGCCTTGCATGACTTCTCTAGCGCATGATTTCCCCACATTTACTGCCGAGTTTGACCCAAGATGTCTGCGTGCGTGCATGCTTGCTTGTGTCTATGTAATGTTGCACCTGTACATGTGTGTCTGCACGCCCGTGTGTGTCTGTGTGCCTGCACGCCTGCGTGTCTGTGTAATGTGTGAGCGTGAGCGCTACGCCGGCCCCCACCTACCCCAGAGCGACGGTCGAGCCGTCAGGGCTGAACTTCATTGAGGTTCCAGCTTCCACCTCAGCTACGCGTGTTGGCTCCTCCTCCCCCAGCAGATCCCAGATGCGCATGTACCTACAGACGAACGAGCAGGAATGCAGTCGTTAAAGTCGCCATGACAACAACATTATCATTATCAGGTTAATAATTAGATGCTTAATTCATCATTGTGTGTATGCATTATCTATTCATTAAATAGTTAATTTAGTTAGTTACAACTCACCGATGACACGGAGACCATAGAAACCAGATTAGTCTTAACATTAGTCTTAACGTTAGATATGTCTCGTAGACCGTTGTCAGAAACATAGTTAGTTTCAGCGTTGACTTTTTCTTGCCGAAAGACTGATGACAAGGGCGACAAACTGCATGTGACGTCACATGTGTAGTTTACACCACAGCACAGATAGTGGGTGTAAGGAAGAGAGAAAGAGACATGCCGAGTTAGAGAGAGAGAGAGAGAGAGAGAGAGAGAGAGAGAGAGAGAGAGAGAGAGAGAGAGAGAGAGAGAGAGAGAGAGAGAGAGAGAGAGAGAGAGAGAGAGAGAGAGAGAGAGAGAGAGAGAGAGAGAGAGAGAGAGAGAGAGAGAGAGAGAGAGAGAGAGA